CACTCAATTATCTTCAACCTGTAGACTAACAATATCAAGTGCTTTCGCATACAACCTGTAATTTGGTTAACAATGTTTATCCTTTGACATTTGGAAAGCCTTTCTTCACTGTATAAACGTGAAGCAGGCGGAATACTGCATTTATTAAGTGGCTTGTGATGGGAGAAGCTCTTTAACGAATCTGAGAAATGTCGGAGGCATATTTTGTTAATCGGGGTTTGTATTATACCATATGGCTTCTGTTTTATGCACGTGTGGGTGAATTAACCGTAAAATTGATGCCTGTCAGTGTGTTCCATTTCACTGGTTATCTAAAGAATAATCGCATTAAAAAATTTGAAAGTACATTTACATGCATTTACAAATAATTTCTTGAAATCGAAAATACTTAACTTGTGAAAAATTTAGTGTTCACACTCATCGTGGTAAAAATCGTGTTTTATATTAATTATTAGTGGGTGACTTTTTTAATGTTACACATGCAAGTAAGAATTAAATTCAGTGATTCAAGAAAAGTACGTCTAATTCAGAATATTTTCATCTGATTATCATAATTATTTTTCAATTCTATTTTTTATTCAACATTTTCTAATCGAGTTCTTTGCCGTATAATTTCATTATTATTACCCAGCAAATGAATTAGCCTTACAAAAGAACATTAATTAAAGAAGGTTCCAATATTGTTAGATTCTGGACCAGAAGACATCCAATGAGAGTAAATATAAAGTTATCAAAACATGCGTTCCCTCTCAAACTTAATTATTGCATTTTGTAAGTGTATCCTTTGTGACCTGACAATAGAAAATGCTTTTTCCAATTCTACAGAAATAGATTTTTTCTTTGGAAATCTACAAAAAACTTGCCCCAAGACTGACTCCTAATTAGTCTCATTACACAGAAAGAACGAGTTTTTCAGATGCTAGTTAATCAAGAAGATCAGTGTATACGGAAACAGGGCACGTGTACAAAAAACTTCTTTGGAAAAAGAACGGTCGTAGGCAAGTAATCCGATCCATTCCATGATGGAAACAGTTTAATCCAATTACTTGTGTAGGAAAGCCTCGACTGAGTATTTTACAATTATCGCGATCGAATTACCCGCCGGAACGTTACAAATATAGAATTTTGTCTCTTTTTGCCATCTCATAAGATTTCTGTGCAAGTTCGTTCTATTGGATCTTTGTTGATAGAAGGGGCCTTTGGGGCCACTTAAGTTCTTGTAGAACATGGTAGTTTTGACGTCATAATGGGAATATGATTGTTACCGAGTCAATATTTGGAGAGTTATGCAAAATTGTTTATCGATGACCCATTACAAATACGACGTAAATTGTGTGGGTATTTTAATTGGCTAGTACCATCTGTTTGTACCATTGTTAATAGAAGATATTCTGATTGAATGCTCTAAGTTTTGTCCGTTGAAACTAGAGGTCTTTATATTGCATGAGGGCAGTAAAGCTATTGCTATTTTTACATGTGAAATTGGTGTTAGTGATTAAGTACAATTTTTTTCTTTTGGTCACAGTTTATGTTGACGTTATATAAAACTAAATAGTAATAAATAATATGTATACGTATATTTTTTTATATGTTCACACAAATCATAACTTAGCATCCCTGACTATGCTGCTCCCCAAAAATCCTTTTAAGTGTTAGGTTGACATAGTAATTAAAACGTCAGAATAACTTGTAAAATATAATTCTATACAGGCCAGCACCACCCTACAACTTCAAACTACAGTATTTGAAGAAACCAAGAAATCGTCTTGTATTTGAGGAAATCGTTTGGCGAAATTATGCCACCATATTAAGGCAAACTAGCTAGTGGGCGAGAATATTCCACCATTGTAATTAAACAAATCAGTTGGCGAAAATATATCGCTTTAGTATGGCAAACGAGTGGTCGTTCTATAATACGAAAGGCATTCATTTACGATTTTTAGATCTTGCCTATAGTTAACATCTATTATAAAGAAATTCACTTACACCAAATTGTAAGACTGAAAACTGAAACATACTACTTGGTGTCAGTAACTCTGATAGGCCTAGGGAGTTTTGCTCTGTAGACTGATATTATTTTACGGAGTTGAGGGGTGCCAGTATAACGCTCATTAGGGAAAATATTTAGATTTATAAAAAAGGTAAACGTTTGTAATACAGATCACAGTGTAAGAAAAAACTATGGTGATTTTGAATGTTTGACAATTCTTAAATAAACTACTTAGAATTAATAACTTATTTTGTTTCACATAATCATTTGCAAACATACAGTATTGAATTCGAAGGTCCAAAATTACTTTTCTTGTTAAAGTAATATTCTTCATAACATAGAATTCAATGCATCACTATCACTAAGGACAGTTCATTTACGATTCATAACTATGAAATATGAAGATAACGAACAGTTGTCAGCTCAAAAGGCCTTTGAAACAATACAAATTTGGAGCATAGCAAACGAGGACCTCAAAAAATATCAAGAGGTTGGATCAGGTGCCATGGAGTAGTAAGCATCGCCTGTCGAACCGTTCACACCCGCGGTATACTCCTTGTCATGATCGTGCAAACGGAAAAATCCGTAAACAATTCTGTTTGAAAATAATGGCCTAATAATTTGTGTGGAAAACGTCAGTCATTTCATATCCACATTAGGCCTAATTTTAAAGACTCAGGAAATGAAAAAAAAGTATTAATCACTGAAAACACACATTCAAGTATCTGAAATTTGATTCGTTGTATCGAGTCGCAGGTTTGCGTGTAAGAAATCATTTTAATTTACTAAATTATCAAACAAGAATACACCTTTTTCAAACTTTTGCCTTGTAAATTTATATCTATGCCCTACTTTGTGAACAATTGCGATCAAAGAGGTGCTTGCGTAATTGATAATTATGCAACATCTGCTGTCGATATAAACCTGCAATTTCCACTTCTGCAGTGATTGCTAAGTACATTTTAAGATAAAAATAAACTTCAATTTCGAATACAACTCAGATGTGGCCATGCAGTTCGTTTTATGTTGTTAATTCCACATTCTTGTAGAATACATATTTTAAGAGTCTCGTTTTATAATTTTTTGTAAGGCGGTTTTACTTACATGTATATTTTTTCTATTACAGTTGTTGTATAGCATATGCTTACTGAAAAACAAAGAAATGGTGATCTAGTACCGATAGTGTAATTTTCTTTACTTCTTTTTTATCCCATCAAAGAAACAATGCTTTTGGCAGTTTGGCTCTACGTCTGAGTTCTTACTATCGTCCTCTTATAAATTGATAAATAAGGGGTATCTGTAACATGCACTGCATTGTGTTCACTCACTCACCCTCCCTCTCACTCTGAAATGTTAAATATATGACAATGCTTTTTATATTCAACCTAAAGGTATAGTCCGGCCCTTTTCGCATAAGCATGTAGCATGTATCAGTGGAAACCCGAGAAGCTGTTTCTTACAAGTACCCTAGTTAATAATGAACAACAATGCCATTGGATTTTACATGTATGGGCGCAAATCTATCAAATGTTTATTTCCTGCTAAAGCCGGTGTAAAGACGAATTATCATCTTTACACCGGTACCCATTTCTCGGAAATTTGTTCCAGTGAATATACAGTGTACAGAACACCAAAAATAATTCCAAAATTTTCAATTATTTTAAGCAATTTTTTTTTATAATATACCCGGCACAACTGACACCCAAATTCTTAAAACATTGATAAAATCATACATATAAATGCACTTAGCCCGAGCTGTACACAATGCACATATAGATCGGGCATTTGATATATAGTGGCATTGATTTCTTACCATTGTACATTATTGTAATTATAACCAGTACTAATAGCTCCCAGGGGAGGCTGCTAGTTTCATTAACAGTTTGAAATATATATGATGAGAGTACATTTGTGTAGCCTCAAAGGTGTATGCATGTAGTTTACAATTTTTGTGCTTCTGTTTTTGTAAAGCAGGGGAAAAGATAGAAATTATTTTTAGCAAATGTGCAGGCCTTGCTGGCCAAGTATTAGGTAAATGTAGGTAACGCGATCTGACCTGGGCTCCTGGATCAATATCCTCCGGTTAGTGTTATACAATATACCTGTAGAACCATGTGTCGTCACACCTGAATAAGATAAATATCTGTGTCGGGGACACGTTCATTCAGACTATTTTGTCCCTTATGAATGATTAATTTCGATACATATCTCTTGAGAGCTTCTTTCGATGCTGGTAATAGAACCTCAAATTTGCCTTCGTTTTGGTTAATAAATCGATGAGTTTTGCGAACTCGTTTCTGTGACTGATTTCAATATAAACCTGTTGCATGGGATACAAGGTCAAAGATTAAAATATTATGTTACCATGCAATTCTTTAATTCTTCATGCTTTTAATTTTACCCAAGGCCCGAGGGTTATTGTACCATTCTAAGTTATTGCATAAAAAGTAAGGTAAAAAAGATATATGCAGAAGCAAAACCACACCTTGCTACTTAAATATTAGTAGTATTAAAGCTTCTGTCAGCGCGAATTTCGCAGACCTATCTAAGATGCTCGTCTTTAAGATGAATTTCTTCAATATGAGATAGGGAAGCCATACATAATCTAGCAGTACATTTTGTTGGCAGAAGTGGATGCCAAAACAACCTCTTTGTATTTTTATTGCTGTTTATCTTAAAATCTGAGTGTACTTACACATTTTCCTTTATCAATCTGATTTAACATTCATCATATATTTTGTTTGATGGAATTGAATGCAGTCCCTTTGTTGCTCCTCAGACAGTTGTTCCTGGCAGTGCTAGCGAACTCATGAAATCACTGTGTTCTTTGTAAAAGTACATTATGCTATTGCTAACCAGAAATTATTTTCGCTAATTTTAGACGTACATGTAACTCTAGTTGTTTATTTTTCTTTGCGAACTAAAAAAAAAAACATTGGCTATTGTATATATGGGCTTACAGTGCATATAATGACACGCAATCAATGTGCATTTTTCATGTTGTTTTTAGTTATGGTGATATGGTGCCAAAGACAATTGCCGGAAAAATAGTTGGCGGTTTGTGTTCCTTGAGCGGAGTTTTAGTCATTGCACTTCCTGTTCCTGTTATAGTGTCCAACTTCAGTAGAATATATCACCAAAACCAAAGAGCTGACAAACGAAAGGCACAAAAGGTATCAATTTTCATAGTATATAATTATGATTGCAGTTTTCAAATGAAGAAATATTTTGTAACAAATTCAAATGTGAGTGCCTGAATTAACACGAAATTAAGGAAGCTCTAAACACTAACAAAAAGTGCTTTTTGGGCTTGGAGATAAATATATCAATCATATAAAGGTGTGCATATTGAGACTATTTAGTTCATTTTCAACATAGGGTACCTGCCTTATTTCCGCAGGAAAAATGTTCAAAGACAATGGACAGAAATCACTGTTGTTTACTTACAGTGGGAAAATCAATGGAAATAATGAATTTAATTACTTATTCTTGTTCTAATATAATGCTAAGAATATTTTAATCTATTATAAATTGTGTAATTAACAGTAAATAACCATTTTTTCTATCTTACTTCTAAGGGCAGATCACTCTAACTGCATAAAACTACCATACAAGTAGAACTCTTTAGTGTGCAGTGTTTAGAACTTCCTTAAAGCACTTTTAAATAAAGGGAATACTGATACTTGCTGAAGCATTGGTTTGTAGCACGACTAGATTAAAAATCAAAACTTCCTTCAGTGTCAATCTTTAGAACTACTTTCTCTACGAATGAATACATGTAGTTTTTGATTAACGTAATATTGAGTTGTCTGGAGTTTTACTGATCATTGAATAAATGGAGAGAATTTATATTGATGAACTTTTTCAATAATCAGTTTAGATTAAATCAAGTAATACATCACAATACATATAGAAATGCTGTTATTTTTGCTTTTAATAAGCAGATATCTTTCTAGATAATAACAAAAATTGCAATTTTGCTAATTTATAAATTAAGTTCTGGGGAAGTATTTCTATATTTTGAAATAATTAAAATGATGGTCCTCTGGAATTGTATGTGAATCAATAATTTAATTTTTACCCGAAACTCGAAACAATAATAAATAACAGGAAAACTAGTGAGTCAATATGGCAATATGGTGTCCCAGACACGGCATACGACCAAGACTTCTCCGAATAAGAAGATGAATATTCCATGTGGCTTGAAAGAGGTTCACAGCAGAGTAAACTTAAACCGTCCAATACCTGATGCTATTTAAGAACTTATCAGAATTTTCTTTAGTCATTTTAATTGTCAAGAAGGACATTCTACATTATTTCTTATCATTACTAGATATTTATTTTGTTACTAAGTTAAACCCGCCATTTTGGTTATATGACATTGATTTTCATGATTTCTAAAGACAACAATCGCTACAAGTATAGGCTTCATATCATGTAAACTCATACAATTATATGCAAAATTTTGCTCCTTCACATTTCAAAGAAAACAAAATGTATCAATATTCCAAAACCATATTTTTCAAAACATGTTTTACTGAATTTTACCTTAGTGTTTCTTCTTATCTTTTAAATCACTATTTTAAAAATAAATTATTTTAAAACGGGTCTGATCTGAGGAGAAAATGTTGTCTTTAATTTTCTTTCAAATGAAAAATTCATACATTACATGGACTCACAGGCCCAGAAAGACATCGTTTCTGATTTTCAGTGTCAAAGTCTGTAGGACGCTATTCTGAGTATTTAAACACATTTTGTTTTATCTCAATGAAGCACTGTCTTCCAAATACGCAATCTCATTATACAATATTTTTATTTTGTTTGCTTGTTGTTTAACGTTTCAATCATATGGAGACGCCACCGCTTGCCAGTGGAGAGCTGCAAATTGACCTATGCTCGGCACTTAGAGCCATTGAACAGTGAGGGATCTTTTTCGTACCAGAACCAGAACCTACTGTGACACGGGACCTCGGTTTATACAGTCTTACCCGAAGGACCGGTCTCCACGTCCCACAGTGGGATTCGAACCCGCGACGAAAGGATCAACTCCTTACTCCGCGACTCTAGAGCAGACGTTCTCCCACTGCGCTACCCGGGCGACTACAATATTTTTAATAGTTGTAGATAAAGATACCTGTTCGTGTTCAATAAGAATAGTGATTCTAATCTTATCAGAATTAGATGTAGTTTTGTTTAGGTTTTAGTTGTTTACAGAGATGAGCAGTCTTTATGTTCGGTACACCTGAGTATCCCTTTTGTTGTGTGACTGCAATTGATCTCTTCTTGAATTACAAAGTGCCGTTAAGCAGATCTAGAAAAAAAATCCTTTTAAAGTATTTTCAGTCATACATTTCAGGGAAGAACATTGAATGAGTAGATCACTAAACCAGAAAATAGTTAACTAGGTACTTTACCTTTGAAAAGCTTGACATTCTTTTTGAAGCATCTTCAGTTTGATGTCAAAAATTCTCTTGACTTTGTTAATTAAGCTGTTAAACTCATTTCAAGCATTTCCTTGAATATTTTCCCGAATTAGAAACCTTCTGTAAAAGAGAGCAGAAAAGGTAGGCGCAGTGGAATAGGGGAACTAACTCTAATTTTATATTTTCAAAGTAAATAGCATTTTATCTAAAGATAATAATTCAAATACGATTAACAATTTCAGAAAGTATCTTTTTTGATATGATTAAAAAGATCCTTGACAAAAAGATTAATCGTTTTTATTTTGTGTCAGTTTACTTAAAGACGTACAACACAGTGGGGGAGATAACTCTTTCAATGAAACGTTTAACGTGACGTCAGTTTGACGCTAATTATCAAGCGTCAAAATGACGAGCTATTACATAGTTTTTAAAGTTAATTATACAGTTTCCCTGCAATTTGCGTAGTTATAATTTCCAACTTTTCCCCCTGTTACATCAAATTTGATAATACATGTATTTTATCCACTAAAGTATGAAGTTCCAAGAAGGAAAAAAGGTTCGAAAATGACCTTTTCCTGCGGGTTTTACCAAGGGATATGGAATAGCCTTGAAGAGAGAACAACATGTAGTGTAAACTCATTCATTAAAAGTTTACTAAAATATAACATTCAGTTTTATTTAACTTTTCAAATATCAGCTCTGGAAATATTTTATTGGCGTTATGTGGTCATGATTTTCCTATCCCTGAAGGTTGTTTTTTTCTCTGTGAAGAAAGTTTTTTTTTTCGTTTCCCGCTTTTTTTCTTGTTTTATTTTTTTAATATATATAACAGATCTGAGTGTTTAAGCTCACTGATATTACTGAGACGCTTCTACCGAGACAGAAGCCGTATCTAACAGATTAAAATCCAAAGGAAGTCTTTAACAAAATGTGTTTCAAATATCAGACGATGCAAAAGTTCGCAGAGAGAACATTAGAAAAGCACTTCGCATAATTACTCAGATTTTTTTTTTTGGTAAGTGTATTGCAATAGTTGATGTTGAAACTTTTTTTTTCTCCCCTCTCTTTAGTAATCACCCAAAAAATGTTACAAATAGTGGCATAACACTTTAAAAAATTTTTTTTCTTACCCCAATACAAGCAACTCTTATGATAAAATAATGTTCGGAAATTCCCTTTTATTCAAAAAGCAGGCCTATTTAATCATGCAAGAGTTTAATTTACAGACTGAACTTTAAGTGACTTAGCTGATTTAGGTCTTCATTCATGACTATCAAGACATTATAGAGGATCAAGTACATGTATAAGTTATCATGGAAACAATTCAAAGCCATTAACACTGTCGAAACTGAAAAGAAGTATTTAAGAAAATATGAAAACTGTATCACCTGAGTCATAGACTTAAATAAAAGGTGACCTTTTCTGATCAAAGTTTGTCTGTCACTCATTACCTACATCTATCATTTCTCTGTGCTGTAAACTTTTGACCTCTTTCCTAGAAACTCGACAAGTTTCAACCAGCCTTGTATAGGGTTTGTGAGGAGAGTAGCGGATCAGAAACCATTTGCTAGCGAAGATGCCCTATAACCAATTTCATTATTTACTGCATACAAGTATGGTGCATTTGAATTTCTTCAAATCCATACTCTTTTGCAAGAGGGTGTGTTCGTAAGAATTTTTACAGCGAATATTTGGCAGAAATCTCTTAATAGGTAAAGATACAAGGTACATGTACATGCTGCTATATTTGCTTTAAATGAAGACCAAGGTTTGTTTAAGTCGAGGCACCATACATCAGTATGAGACGACACTAGTATACCAGGAATGTGCATGAAATAAGGGCCAGTCGACCCACCTACTTCAACGTTTTTATTTGTATTTTTAATTATAATGCACAATTATAAAGTAATTTGAAATGGAAATTTGATACAATTTGCAGATATCGTTGAAAAAAATCTTAGCATATCCGAAGGACAGATTTAATATCTTTTACAATACAGATGTCTTCATGTGAAGAAGATAAAGCTCTAAGACGCTTACACAATTGGAAGTCATCCTTAGAGCACCTGCAATTTTGCGAAATAAATGGCATTTATCTAGCATCATCATTAATACATGAAATTAGGAATGAAACAAGTAAAAATCAATAAATTGTGTAGAGGATGTTTTAAAGTATATGTCCTTGAAGATAGCAATGAAATGTGAATGAAAATGTTTTCTTTTATTTAAAAGCTGCAAATGGTCTGTAGCTGTGTACATTAATGAACACATTTGGCCATTTAAAATAAATTTCATGCCTTATGTTCTTTCCAGTTGTGAATATAATTTTTGTGATGATTTTTTTCTTCTAAATTTTAAATTACAGAAAGCGAGAATTGCACGTATTCGAATGGCCAAAAACGCAAGTGGCGCCGCCTTTATCAGTAGTAAGAAGCGGGCGGAAGAGGCAATGCGGGCGAGAGAGAGTGGACTAGAAGTTGAGGATCTGAAAAACCAAGATACATTAGAGATGCAACACCATCATCTACTCAGTTGCTTAGAAAAGACCACAGTACGTATTTCAAAAAATGAAAAAAAAGCTCGATAAAGTTTCTTTAGTCTTTTTTGAAAGGGAAGGCCATCTTTCACTCGTTCATTAATTGTTCGTATCTTGAATCGTTTGATATTTTGTAGTAAATTCATTTTACTGGAAATTCAAATTATATGAAAATGTATCAAAAACGGAATCATTTATATACCATTTTAGACCCTCTTTCAAATTAATTTTTTGATATAATCTGATTCTGATTTATAAAATCAGCAAGATTGAAAGCGTTTTATTTGTTCAAATGCATGTACTAGTATTCAACAAAGACTATTTTAGAGTAGAAATAAGTAATGTTTCCAAATGAAATATTTATTTTACTATCCACAATATATTAGGTAACTTGCATATAATTATTTTAAACAGACAGCTGCATCTTACATATACTAACATACAGATGTTTTTGTTATAAAAATTACTTGCATAAAGAACATGAACAATTCGTATGTACACCTTCTATCGTATTACTTTCATCTGCACTTGAAACTGTTAGGAGAACTCAAGCTTCATTGAGCAAAATCATATTTTTGGTTGATATTTGGTTGCTTGTAGTGAATTGCATGTGGGCATTATTATAATTATAATAGCAATTTTGCTTGCTAGATTGACCTGCCATCACAAAGTTACTATATATTTAGCTTTTTGCTTGGAATTCTTCGAATGATATCTGTTTGTCATTTGAAATGCCATTATGAATAATATAAACAACAAAAATTAAGGGGGAAATTGAATTTAAAATTGTTTTAGACTATTTATAATGGTGATTCAAAATGCATCACCAATTTAGATAATCTAAAATCACTTCCTTCACTGAAGAAAGCCAAGCTTGAAGAAAAATTCCTCAAAATGTACTAATGTTAAGGAAATCAGATTAGAATAAAATACCAAATTTAATATGTGTTCACTCTAAACTATAAAACAGCACTCCTTTCTCCGACCACCCCGATTCAGATCAGTTGCAATGTAAAATATATGAGAGGTTCAAAAAGGCGTGGTTTTGCAGGACCGAGAATTTGTGGAATTGGATATGGCGTTTAATGGGGCTCCAAACAAACCCTCAGAGACGCCCCCTCCTTCTCCAGACCCGTCTCTGACGTCACTAGACAGGCGGAAAGACACGGGGTGCTGCGGTCGTAGGTTTTCGCCACATCGAAGATTTCTCGTAAAGGTAAGCCAATGCCCCGAGGGACTCCGAGATAGCTGTCCCACGACCAGCCGTTGTAGCAACTAGATATGACTCGAAAACCACTAATTAAAGATGTTACGTTGATTTCCATAAATCCTGTAGATTTCTTTAAAAAAAAAACACCTAAAATTGGAATTACAGGCGATTGTCTAAAATTGCATCAGCTTTGTTTTGAAAAGAAATCCAGTTTGTAATCATCCGAGTACGCTGAATCGGAAATCAAACAATATTGCGTCACAAGTGACGTTATTTAAAACGTTTGGGAATGAAACATAAACCAACTTTAGAACACAAGCACCAAAACCTGGCAATGTTCCCTATATTATTGGTTTGCGTGTCGTCGGTTGCTACATTCCATTTATTTCACACCCCTTCTTCCCCATTGTTGTAATACTGATATAAATGTCCATTAAAACAATCAGCTCCCAAGTTAAATTGTCAATACATCTGTACGCCATGGGAAAGAATTTTTGTGCATCAGTTACATGTATCCATATTTCTGCTTTACTTGATGCTTCTTGTAAGCTTCAGCTCGTGCAATATTCAAACCCTGACTACTTTTTAGGCATAGAAAAACAAAACTAAATATAGACAAGAAAGTGAACTGAACAGCGTTTAAATTCTTCAGGATAAAACTATATGTCTGATAAAGAAATATTAAGTATTTGATGCTAACTGTGTCACCATACATTTTTTTTTTTATCTAAAATAAATTTTCTATGAAATCAAATAGTGATATAATGAATAAAGCATGTTTTAGAAAGCAGACCCAAAGACCTTAAAAGTTAGTTGCAATTCTTACCATGGCAAAAAAGTTCAATCTTCAATTAATTACGATGGTAGTGGCGGTATAGACTTAATTTACAAATGTAAATATTAGACAGTATATGGGTATGATATAATAGTTGTTATAATAAATTATCTTATTTGAAGGGTTGCACGTGGGGTGCAAACCTCCATTATGTCTTAAACAAACAAAATTCTTTTTTTTCTAAAGTCAAAAGAGTCCTAGTTAGACAAAAATCTAGAAATAATGTTCTTTTAAAAGATGTAATTCTAGAAAAAAAAACTTAAATGTATGAATATTTGTCCATTATATGTGTGATTTTATACAGTCTTGCCATGATAGAGACAGTTATAGTGCGCTGAAATTGACTAATATTGCTTGGCTTCTAATGCTTAAGTATGTTGTACCTGATTTTGATACTCTAACACTGTAAAAAAAATCATAGCTATCGTAGTCCGAGAATATTTTTAAATTTATTTAAAAAACTGAATAAATTTTGACAAGTTTTCTTTTCAGAGTCATTTTACTATTAATACCAAGTAAGGATTTTTTTTAAAATGGACCTCTACTGTGATATTTCTATTTACAGCGACGAAACACCGATTCGGATCAAGATGACCTTAATGATATTCAAATTCGACTTCCAACCATAAACCGATCATCTAGATCAAACTTGAACGCTGTCAGCGGCGGGGCGACAACGCCTAACAGCAAATCAAACAACCTGACTGTCACAACCGCTATCGTAACACTACCCACACCTAGTACAACTCCTGAGACCGAGTCTCTCCTGGCGCAAACTGACCAGGCTCCACCCCCTTACCAACAGACTTTATCACAGAGTCAACAAACTTCACAAAACGCAGGGGATGTGGTGAAAATATCTTCATTGTGATAAAAGATCGTGCGTTAGTTCTATGTTAACGTCTCACCAATAATTTATTAACAAATCCTACCACTGGACATCGCAAACTTGCGTTTGATAGGCAATAATATTGAGAATGATATGCTGTTGGAAAATGATATGAGAATTTGTACCTCAAGGATAAGTTTGAAGAGTGTAAATGATGGAAGAGGAGCTTAAATCAAAATATTGATGCGATGACAGTAAAAAAAATCAAACACGAGTAACGATGTTACATATTTGCTACGAATTCTGCCCAGTTGATTCCATATGTTTCATTGAGTATCGTGCACTGACCACGGCTGTTTGCGGAATGTTTAAATCAGTGTGATTTTTTTCACTACTTGACCACGTGATTTTTTTTCCTGCGGAAAAATATTTATGACAATTTGTCACGTGATACTTTCCAGAGCGATGATTGATAACCGTTGTTCTTTTTCTAATATATGTCTTTAGAAAATATTGCTCACGTATGTGTAGAATTTACATTTTTGTATTTTCATCAGATCTCACGTCATTCCATGTAATATACTGTCCCATACAAAGCGAGATGACTCCATTTTGTACAAGATGACCGTATGACTCCCTCTGCACAAGTCCTGCTATGCATTGCAAACGGATACAACACATTATCTATATATCTACAAACAGACTCAACATTCCTAGAAAAATAGTATTTAATTCTTGACTAGAGTGGTCATTTACAATCAATCCGGGTTAAATAATTCATTAAATAATGAAGGGCAAACAATTCAACATATGACTTGATTAAAAAAAAAAATAGGAAAGTGCTTGAAACTTAAAAACGCAAATTAACTTTAAACTTTTTTGGATCACATTTTAAGCAAGTATATCCCTTATCACAGAAGGGGAAATTTACAGCATATCCTCCATTGTTTTAAAGATGATTAAAAAACATTTTCTGTAAAATAAAATAAGAAAATTAAAGATAAAACTATCACAATGAAAATGGCGACGGCCGTTATCAGAAAAAAATATCTACACCACGACCAAAACTTCTTACCTAGATGAAAATGTATTGTAGCGTTGCAGAAATATGCAAAGCGCCGCAACCTTTTCAAACCTCACTTAAAACATCACTCATATTCACCACCGTCACTTGTATATAGACGTGTTTCATGTGGCAACGTAAGTCTTTTCTTTTTTGAGTATAATATAACGCTTTAGTTTAAATTTGAGAAAAAATTGAATTCAGAAATGTCTTAATGCATGAATGTAAATATTGATCGATCACATGATTTCAACTTCAATAAACATTATGATAATGATAATAAATAAACTTTGGGAAGGGAGGGGGTTTATGGTTAAATATTGAAATAATCGACCTTCATTTTCAGACTACGTACGGTATTTCGATGGCACTTGTGTATAAAAAAGTTCTCACAAGTAAAGTGAACCAACTTTTTTCCCGAAACTTGCGATCTTTTTTGTTTCTTCTTTTCAAACAAGTATTCATTGTTGCTGAAACCATTAATGTTACTGTAATTCTTTTCATTGCGTGAATGTTATTTTCATATATTTTGAACTTCTTTGTGTAATTCATACGTCAACAGTATGTAATTAAACAGAAAGACCCACTTCGCGGATGAATACATTCAGTCTGTTGTTCTGAATGCGGACTATTTGATCCTTGTGTGCGACCGAATGGAAGTGAGTAGCCCACTGTGAAGCAATGTTTCTCTTGTTTTGAGGAGCGTATCTACACAAACTAGGATGTGGTGTTGAGTGATTCAAAATTTGTTATACTCTGCTTAGATGGATAAGAGACCTACCTTTAACCCATGTGTGAATTGTTCCGTGACTCGGGGTTATAGTGTATGTTAGAACGGGTGTTCCCGTTGTTACTGTTTTAATACTACAATAAATTCCCATTACAAACTTAACGAAATCTATCTTATAATTTATATAAAGTTTGCCTGTCGTCTCATTGTTTTAGTCAAGAGACGTATGTTTCATACATCCAGTTTAATGCGGTGAACGTCTCCATTTAGAGACATGTTGTTGCTTATTGATAATAGAATTTTTATTTATTATTGACTCTACTTAAAACGTTAATTTTATTATTAACACCAGGGGACTAAAAATGTACTAATGTTACATCAGTAGATATTGCAGACTAGTAATGAGGCTACTGAACCTTTTATTTTTGTTAAAAGATTCAGAAACGATCTCTATAATTTATTAATTGTCAGTAATCTTATTTATCCCCTCTTCTTACTTCGCTCTTCTTACTTCCTTGCATTGATTGAATAATGGGTGAATTAAAAAAAATGACCAAACACATATTTATCAACCTGGACTAAAAATACAGGCAAAGAGAATACAGTTCTATTACTCGGTATATGTCTTTTGATATTGTCTAAATACCTGCCAAATATCTCATTGATATCTCAAGTCATAAAAAAGTTCTGCCCAAAAATAATGCTAAAATTTCAGGAATGCAACGCCTTTTGTTACGTTTTGAAAATTCGATATTTTTTGAAGATCTGTGAAATAAAAAATAATGGTTTATGTTGGAAATAAAGACTTTTTTGATAATAATCAAAGTATTTACCTTTAAATGTAGGCTGTAGCAACTTTTGTTTGACCAACTTGTGGCCATGGCTGATGTTAAAAAAAAAAGTTAAACCACGTCAGGAGTGCAACAGAAAAAATGAAGTGTTGCCAAAAAGCATTGATTTGAAAAATCTGTATGACAAGTCAAAAAAGAATTTTCAAAGTGTAGAACAATAACTGATATACCATTTAATCTTTAAAATGTTATATTAATCACAAGCAGCATTAATGAGAGTCAAGTATCTGTGCATACCCAACATTTGATGTTTTGCTCCCCAGCATGGAAAACTTTTATCAGTATATGATTTTCTGATTTCTATTTTGGAAAATAAAGACCCAAAGAACATTTTTACCAAAAGATCTGTCAATTAAAGGGTTTGTCTATGTTTCTATGGTGAGAAGTGCACCGCATTTTTCTAAAGATCCCAGTTATATGATGAAAAGACTTCTATTCATACTAATAAATATTCTTCTATCAATAGTGATCTATTTGATTAATTTAGTATATTATTGACAGTTTCATTATTAAAATCTGTCTTTTTTTCAATTGTATCAATCCAGATGTGTTTTTATCTTTTCTTTGAATTTTTTTTTTATGAATATGAAAAAACACACAGAAAAAATGTTATAAAATTCAAGTAATTCCACCTCATTGTCACTGAAACACGACAGAAAATGTTCTGATGTAATTTATGCTTCACAATTCTACTTTAAAGACTCGTATGCTTTTGGTCAGGAGGGCAAACAAATGGTAGTATTCTTGCTGATCAAATATGAAATATGAAAACAATTTATGAGTAGAATGTTTCTGGTTGACCTCAATTGTTTACAGTGTTTGTCCCGTGAAGGAAAATATACTATAAATATACTTTTATCTGCTAAATATATTTTAGCTATTTTTTTTTTTTTTTTTTTTTTTTTTTTTTTTTTTTTTACGTAAATAGGAAATTACTAGAGAAAAAAAGCCAAGTTTAAATATTTTTATGTTCTAACCATGAAGTGTTGGACGATAAATAGAATTTCACTTGATGTTGACAGACACCTTATGAATTTTTGTGTTCTATGGTTTTAATTTTCCTTCAGTGAGAAGATGTTTTATAATTATCAATGAACTTCATCTATCTTTACTAAAGAATAAAGTGCAGAAAATGTTTTATACTATTTGTAGTACAAATCAATATGTTTGTCAACAATTTACAGATTTTGCTTGGAGGTTTTACAGTCAATTCACAGAATAGTTTTTGTCACCAAACATATTCTTTTTAGAATATGTATTACACAAGCAAATAATCATAAGTTGAAGTCTAGAAATATGAAAAACGTGCCGTAAATTATAACAAAACGACGAACTTACGTATTTACAAGCTTTGAATGAGTTATTGTGTGCTATATTTTTTAAAACAATCTTTACTAAAATACACTTCATGATCAGATGTGAGGAGTGCGACAACATAAGATAAAATAGGACCGCTTCAAAATCTGGTATCTTTTGTAAGAAAGCTTGTATATCAAAACTCCTTTTTGGCTTAGATTTAAAGAACTGACTTAAATGGACAAAAAAAGTAATTTTTGGGGAATTTGTTGTTTCATATATCTTTCATATCAAAACTTTTCAAACCAGAATTGAAAAGAATAATGTAAAATAACAATCAAAAACTTAGGCCAATTTCTTTCACATATATAAAAGAAGAAACTCAATCAAGGTTTAGGTCCAATCATTTACATCCCGCGCCGGACATCATTTTGAAGCATAAAAGCTATAACTTCTTTTGAATATGTATTCTAGACAGTCTAGTAGGATTTAGTAATAATTTTTTTTCAACTAAAGTTTAATTAATAAAAATTCTGATACTTTTCATGCAATTATCAAACATCTATTGTCACTTCAGGAATTTTAACTAGAATACATGTACAGTATGATGATATAAATAAAAACTATGTTATTGATAGTTGAAATTTTTGGAAAAAAATTCAATTTGGTGGTCATTATTTTTGAATTCACCCCAATGGTTTGTATCAGGTTTCAAGTTAAAGTTCTTACCGCAGTCAGTCAGATCATTGTACACAGACACTCTATCAAAAGTTCTTATCACAGTCAGTCAGATCATTGTACACAGACACTCTACCAAAAGTTCTTATCACAGTCAGTCAGATCATTGTACACAGATACTCTACCGAAAGTTCTTATCACAGTCAGATCATTGTCACAGTGTACCAGCCGTAGTAACTTCTCTGAACTACCTAGATATGACGTCAAATCACTGCATACTTGGCAAATGACGTCAAGTCACTGCATACTTGAGCTGACATGACGGGGAAAGTGTCATAACTTTTATATTCCTTTCACATCACATGTAGATTTTTTTTACGTTGATGTTTAATTCATGTGTCTGGATTGTTGTTTTAAGGCTGTAATGATGGTGAATATTTGCAGTATAATATCGTTATTACTTTTTCTTGTCTAAATGTACGTATTCAAACAATTAAAAAAAAGGAATGTGAAATGCCCCCCTTACGTGTCTGTAGACAGAGTTAATCTATAAATCTTGTATTTATTAGACTGGCACAAGTGAATAATAAGGATTAATTGAAGATATTCTGTGTGAATCTACTAGAGAAATATGTCCTCTAACTGAATTTTGCTGGGGGATTGTATGTAATTTATCCTATTTTGTATAAATTGCGATGAAGAGTGGAAAATGACCCCTTGTATGTGGGAAAGTTGTTTTTCTCGTGAAATATTTTCTTATGAAATAAAATTCAGACTTGCCCCCAGCACTTTATATATACCCAAGAATACGTTTAATTGATTTATATAACAAGCCGTTCATAATAATTTTGTTTTTCACTTGTGCCGATGCGATTTTTGTGCAACATTTAAGAAAATTTATGTGTCCGTCACGTGATCAACATGTGACATCACAAAAATGCTTTTTTGTAACACCTTATTCAACTTTCTTTACAACTTAAATGTGTATGTATACATAGATTACAAACTGAAATCAAAACATTGCTCAGTATAAAATAGTATATATTTCAGGCATATTAAGCCTTCGGACAGCCTTATCCTAGCTGCGAAAAGTTCTTATCACAGTTAGTCAGATCATTGTACACAGACACTCTACCAAAATTTCTTATCACAGTCAGTCAGATCATTGTACACAGACACTCTACCAAAAGTTCTTATCACAGCCAGTCAGATCATTGTACACAGACACCCTACCAAAAGTTCTTATCACAGTCAGTCAGATCATTGTACACAGACACCCTACCAAAAGTTCTTATCACAGTCAGATCATTGTACACAGACACTCTACCAAAAGTTCTTATCACAGTCAGTCAGATCATTGTACACAGACACCCTACCAAAGGTGCTCATCACAGTCAAATCATTGTACACACACACTCTACCAAAAGTTCTTTTCACAGTCAGATCATTGTACACAGACACTCTACCAAAAGTTCTTATCACAGCCAGTCAGATCATTGTACACAGACACCCTACCAAAAGTTCTTATCACAGTCAGATCATTGTACACAGACACTCTACCAAAAGTTCTTTTCACAGTCAGTCAGATCATTGTACACAGACACCCTACCAAAAGTTCTTATCACAGTCAGATCATTGTACACAGACACTCTACCAAAAGTTCTTTTCACAGTCAGTCAGATCATTGTACACAGACACCCTACCAAAAGTTCTTATCACATTCAGATCATTGTACACAGACACTCTACCTAAAGTTCTTATCACAGTCAGTCAGATCATTGTACACAGACATCCTACCAAAAGTTCTTATCACAGTCAGTCAGATCATTGTACACAGACATCCTACCAAAAGTTCTTATCACAGTCAGTCAGATCATTGTACACAGAAACCCTACCAAAAGTTCTTATCACAGTCAGTCAGATCATTGTACACAGACACCCTACCAAAAGTTCTTATCACAGTCAGTCAAATCATTGTACACAGACACTCTACCAAAAGTTCTCATCACAGTCAGATCATTGTACACAGACACCCTACGAAAAGTTCTTATCACAGTCAGTCAGATCATTGTACACAGACACCCTACCAAAAGTTCTTAATATTGAAACTTACCTTTACAAAAAGTGCAGTCTGCTCATTTAACAAACTGAAAAAGGTCAAATATTGTTTATAGTTTATTTCGATATAAACAGTTTCACAAAAATGAAACATGTAAAAATTACATGCATATGGCACACAAGACAATTTGATTTTGTATATATTGTCAGAATGTGCTTAAACATTTACAGCCGAAATAAGAATGTAATAAGTAGAAATATGCGCATGCTATGAAAGTCCAATT